GTGCCTGACCATGTGGCCTGGTCCCTGTTCAAGGCTCTCTTCTTAAATGTCTGTTGCCTGGGTTTCAGGGTTTCATTGCCTATGCCTACTCTGTGAGGTCTGGGGACAGGAAGATGGGGGGGGGGCGATGCGATTGGAGCTTAGGCCTGCACCTCCACTGCCAAATGCCTGAGTCTCAGCTCCCTGATCTTCAGCATCCTAACGGTCATTGTCTGCATCATTACTGTCTCCACCACCTCTGTGGCAGCCTTTCAAGCTTTTTCACAAAGAGTCCCACAGTCTGGATTCCAGTCCTGCCCTGGACTCCACAGTCCACAGCTGCCCACGCTGTGACCCTTTCTTTATCCTGCACATATGCGTCTGTCCACAGTGGATTCAATAGCGTGCACATTGTGGAAAAATAGAAAGATAAAGTGGCTTGCTTTAGATTTTCACAGTGATTCTATGGGGCCAGGGAGCTTGTTACTTAATAGTGTTTCCTAAGAAGCTATGGCTCTTCTTTATAACCCAAACTTGATTTTGAATAGCTAATGATTGATGGGGGGGGTGGCTTTGTAGCAGAACTCTTTGCTGACATGCAGGTTGCCCTGGGATTGATTGCCAGCACCAAGACCCCCGCCATGCACACACCACACACATGTACAGCATTTAATGCCTTTCCTTCTGGTCTACAGAGAGTTCCAGGACAGCCAGGGCTACACAGAGAAACCCTGTCTCAGAAAAGCTACAGAAGGAGGAGGACAAGGAGGAGGAGGAGAAAGAGAAGGAGGAGGAGGAGCAGGAGGAAGAAGAGGAGGAAGAGAAGGAGGAGGAAGAGGAGCAGGAGGAGGAAGAGGAGGAGGAGGAAGAGGAGAAAGAGAAGGAGGAGGAGGAGGAAGAGGAGCAGGAGGAAGAGGAGCAGGAGGAAGAGGAGCAGGAGGAGGAGGAGCAGGAGGAGGAAGAGGAGGATAGTGACAGACCTGTGGGTCATTTACATCCATAAGGATAGCTGGGTCTTTCAAATCCCTATAGGCTAAGTTAATGCTTACAAGTGCCAACTCATATTACTGTTCGGTGCATCGGTCATGTGTTGCAAAGTACCGGCAGCAAAGTCCTTTACAGGCCTAGCAGCCTGCTGATCAAGGGTGAGGTATCCCTCACAATCTCTCCAGAGTGAATGCTGCAGGGCTGGTGCTGTGCGTTAACTGTTTGACACTCGGGGAGCCAGCAGGAGGCTCACGCTTTCCTCAGACTTTTTGGTGAGCTGTCTCGGCTTGTGGGCCGTCAGCAAATATCAGCCCCCCACCCCACTCACCAACCTAAGCCCTTTGTCAAATCCTAGAAGGGGGTAAAAGTGGTGGGAAACAAGCAAGACCACCCAAGCCCGGTGTTGGGTCCTGCATCTTATGTTAAGTGTTCAGTATCGCGCACCACCAACCCATTCGATTCACTTCACTTTGTGTGCCTTGTCTTTTTTCATTTTCTCTGTAAGAGGCATCCTCGAAATCCCCCAGTGTAGAGTGTGGTGAGGAATACAGTGAACACTGGTGTCACAGAAGGAGTGACCATCGTTAGTAAAGTTTTAATGGCAGGCTGTGTTTCGTGGTTACAAAGAAAGGAGCGATCACTTTACTACTTGTCTTGAAAGGTAATCTTATAAGGAGTCTTAAAGAATTCACAAACCTAAAGTTTTATACATGAAAAACAACCAGTCAGCTCTACTTTGAATCTTCAGGGTGTGCACCCTCTCATCAACAGATTTTTCTATCAGGAGACTGAGGACATGAGTGAGCACAAGGAATTAATCATCACCTTTGGCCATCAATCCATCCTAGAAAGAAAGACATGCCAGCTAATAATAATTGGGTTGCTTTGTTCTTGTTTCCTCACCTTAATGAGTTCTTCATTCAATTCTGTGTCTTTCTAAAACTTTAGGTTGTCTTCTTGGATGTTTTACCTGAAAGCTAGCAGACAAAACATTTTACTCTAATCTTAAATCATTTCTAAGGCTTTGCTTCAGCTATAAAACCTGTGAAAGCATTTCCCGACATTAAGATTAGAAGAATAAGCTAGTTGGGCTACTGGGACTCAACTGTTTTCCTTAATCATTAACCAAAACCCAGTCTATAGTGTTCTCCCTGTGTGACACTTTCCTGTTTATATGTTTTATCAAAACTCTATTTATTTCAACCTTCCCAAGTGCTAAGATCACAGGGATGTGTCGCTATTTATCTCTGACAAGCTTAAAGAACATCTCAGTGTCTGTGGGTCACTGACCAGTTTCTTGGTGTACTATCCCTTCCTCTGTACTTAGTAACTGTTCGACCCTATGCCAGACACTAGATGGCGCCATGTCCCTTCACTTCCAGCATATCACACAGGTTTTCTCTGAGGTCATCAGCTGTTGTTACTAAAAGGCTAGATTAATTCATCCCTGAGATCTTCAAAATAGTGACATCTGAATTTCACCTTTTGGAGACTGGGGATATAGCTTGGTGGTAGATCACTAATCCCCAGCATTAGAGACAAAAATACTGACCTTACCATTTTAACAAATTCATTAGGTTAAGGTTTTCAGGGATATGTAAAAACATAAAAATTGCACATATTTCCAGGCTTCTGTGAACTTTCTCCATCTATTTTCTCATTATCAATAAAGTAACTTTATGATGTGTGGCCCCTCATGTAGGATCTTACCTCACAGTAGAAAAAGTCTGGTTTTCTTGCTAGCACTACATAGTTTTCAAGAAAATGGATACATTCCTCATTGTGGAATATTATTTTAATGTAAAAGGTGGGTAACATTTGTTTCTGCTGCTTTTCTTAACAATGCAAAGATGTGTTACATTTGCTTGGTTAAATAAAATTAACCTGGGGCCAGGAGGCTGAATCAGGAACTAGCTGCCAGGAAGGAGGAGGGAGGAACTGAGTGTAGCTAGGGTTCCTAAGTGGGGGCTGAGCAGAAGGATGCCCCTTATTTTACAGGAGAGGTGAGCAAGGAGAGACGGCTAGCTATTTGCTATTCAGCCTCTCGGAGCTAGGAGAATTTCACCTCAACCTTTGAACCCTGAGTTCTATAGAAGAATAGAAATCTAGATAAAGTTTCCTTCAGCAGTCCTGATAGCACTGGTACCCGAAGGAACAAAATTCCCGCCTGGTTGTGACCTGTGCTGCTGAGCCGCTGCTGGTAGCTGTAGGGTTACTGTTGCCAGTAGGGACAGCGGTTGCTGAAGGCGCAGACGCTGTATTGGAAGGGAAATAATTCCTGCGGTTGTTGGGAAGCACAGAAATTCCCTGTCACGTCGGCCTGCCAGGAGAGCAGTTGTGACACTCACTGATTCTGCCCGCACGTAGCTGCCCCAAACAGAATAGCACATAAAGATGACGGCGGGTAAAGCTCACGCCTGTGACCTGAGACGGCAGGCTCGCCTCGTGTCCCTAGAAGTGAGCCTCTGTGAGAATCCTGCAGCCTGGACGATGCCACTCTAGAAAGCCCACACACAGCAAGATGGCCACCAGTCCCAGGGTGTCTGGGCTTGAGTCCGTCCCCCATTTGGTCTTCCTAGGTCACAGGTACTGTGGCCATTCCCAGCAGGCCCGGCGTGAAGTCCCGACGTATGTATGGAATTCACAAACATTTTCACTGGACACAAAGTCTTGGTGACAGTCAGACAGCTCCATGTCGCTCTCAGAAGATGACCCATGAGACTCTGGTACTCTGTGGAACTCACATGTTTCTGAATATCCTGTGGTTGCTTGCTGGCCGTCACTGCATTTTGATGCTCTGATGGTTTCTCAGAGGATCCCTGCTATCTGTTGCGGGAAATGTTGGCTGCCACTGCCTCAGAGACTGCTTCTAGCCAGCCACCTCAGTGGACAGACCAGGCACGCGAACACCTTGTAGATTCACACTGAGAATTCCAGTTGAACTCAGAACCCAGGTTTGACTCAACCGCCTTGTCTATCTGTCTGCAGCCCCATCAACAGTGAACTGGACATGTCTCTGGGGCACTTTACAGTTTACCATATTGCTTGCTCTTCTGTATGCATTCTCTCTTTTCCCTTAAGAACTTTTTATGGACTTTGACCTCATTACCCAATGATTCTTTGTCGAGCAAAATTAGTTTCTTGCATCTTTTAGTAGAAGGAGTCACGTTCTGTCTTCACACGCTCTCTGGATCTCTCTCATCCCCCATCTCCTGGCGCTTTGCTTGGCGCTGACCATGTCCCCCATTGTGAGCTGCGGCTCTTACTGGTCTGTCTTGTGGCAGCTGGTCCTGTAACTGGATTGCTCCGGCTCCTTCTGATGGCTCTCTGAATGAAGTGCTCTGGTTGTTTCTGAGTGCAGGTGAACCTCTAGCCTGCACCCATCCCTGGACAGTTCAGCCCTTCTAGACTGCGCCCTCAGCTCGCCAGGGAGTCCCTGATGGTCGCTTTGAGATCTGTTCACACAGTGCCGAGGGAGTTGCTCTTGCTTGCTCTTTTGTGAAAATGGCTTAACTCCCAGGCGTATTGAAGTACTCATAGGTGTTGGGGTCTACTTATTTGTCTATTTATTATTTTTAATGCTGGGGATGGAATCAAGGCCTCACACAAACAAAACACGTAGACGCTCTACCACAGAGTTTCATCTCAGCCCCATTTCTTTTGTTTTCATGAGGAAACCGAATGATTAAAGACTAAGCTGCCAGCAAGGCCATCTACACAGACTCCTCAGACCACTGATGGTGAACTCCGTTGGCCTCGTTTGCTCTTTGTCTTGACCGTTAGTTGAGCGGTGCAGACTTGGCTTCCGCTGCTTCACCGGTCGCTCTCTCTCTCTGCCAACTCGATCTGACCGCCAAGGAGCCCTGGGTTTGCTCCTTCACACTAGGCGTCAGCGGTCCTGGAGACTGATGGCTCCGCAGGTCCACTCAAGGCTCTGACCACAAGCGGAGCCACGTCACGTCACTCACGGCGCCTTTTTCCCAGCACCTTTACCCATCCAGATGCATGCGAACGGGATAACGTGATCTGAGAACTTACTTCAGGCGCGCTTTTCACAGATTCCGAGGGGAAGGATGAAAAAGGAAAGGCAAGAGGATTATCCAGGAATTTGAGACAAACCTAGAAAGCATAGTGAGACCCTATCTCCTAATAACAGTATAAATAAGTAAGCAGATAAGTAAGTAAATAAAGGAAAGACTGGACACGGTTGAAGTTCTTCTCCTGGTTCCTGGCTCCTGCCCCTTCTCTGAATCCCAAATGCTGAGAAATTACAGTTGACTGAAAATTTAGAGAAGATGGCTAGACAAAGTGTTATCTTAACTAGTCCTAGCTGCCAAATGACAGATTAAAACAAACAAAACTGAGGAGAGCCTGGTAACTGGAGTCCTTCTAAATTGAATTCTACTCAGTATACCCTAGAGGAGCTGTACAGCACTATAAACAACTTTAACGGAGGAATGAGAAGGAAAAATCTCCAAGGATGCTTTCTTCCTTGGTGTTACTGAGTTTTGAAAGGAGTCTTCTTTTCTCCAGGATGGATTCAACAGTATGGGAGAGATTAATGTCAAAAATTTCTAGTCCAAGCCAAATGTGGCACCAGCAATAGGGAAGATGGGCAGGGAAAATCGTGAGCTCCAGGATAGCCCAGGATACAGAGTAAGTCTGAGGTCAGTCTGAGGTACATGATGAGAACCTGTCTCAAGAACAGTCATAGCAGTACCCAAAATTCAGAGAGGCAGGGAGTGAGAGAGTAAGGACAGGGGCAGGGGCAGGGGCAGGGCAGAGACATTCTTTAGTCTGAGCTACTGGGAGGAGATGGACAGATGATGGCTGGGAGGTGAAAATGACAAGAAGACCTCAAATTAGCATTTCTACCGGGCTGTTCTCTTGCTGGAAGGTTCCTGAGGGAAGAGGCTGCTCGAGTTAGCTGGGCCAGGCACTGGATCACTGTGTTGGGGGAAGGATCACTTGTTGGTTCCCAGCTGCCCAGCTAGCTTAGACCTGAAATAATCACACAGAAACTGTATTAGTTAAATCACTGCTTGGCCTACTAGCTCTAGTTTCTTATTGGCTAACTCTTATGTTAATTTAACCCATTTCTATTAATCTGTATAGGGCTCATGGCTGTGGCTTACTGGGTAAAATCCCCAGCGTGGCTTCTCTCTGACTCCACCTTCCTCGTTCCATGCTATAGGCCAAGCCAGTTTCTTTATTCATTAGCCAATAAAAGCACCACATAGACAGAAGGACCTCCCATACTATCACTGCACTATGGGACAGGTTGCCATCGATTCTACCCATAAGCCTCTGCAGATCCAGGGGACTGAAAGGGAGAAGAGCCCTCAGGCTGGCAGGTCTGTGCCCTAGCACAGCTCTGGCTTCACTGTCCACACACAGGCAGTCTTCACCTGCGCAGATGCCCCTGGTCCTGCTTGGTGGCGGAACTTATCTAAAACAGCAGCTGCTTGATGCCTCAAGGACATTAAAGAAAAACCTCTGGTGTGGAAGCTCCCCCTTCCCTCATATTTTCTGCAGGGCAAGTTAAATCCCCATCTCTTCCACACATATGTGCCATCCTGACACGTAGTTTGAGCAATGAAGCATGAAATTTGCCACGGAGGGTCTTTGGCGACCTCTAAAAAGGTCTCTTCCACTCTAAATCTGAAAGTACAAACCAACCTTCAGCAGGGAAGAGTGGGCAGGTGAAAGCACTTTGGAGGGAACACGTGGGTTTTAACCAAGGGGAGAAGGCCGTGAATGTGCAAAGCAACTTTTCCATCTCTGCGTTTTCCAGTTCCCTCCTCTGTCCAGCTCTGGAGATGTGAAGTGGGCTCTCAGGGCAGCAGTTCAGTTACCAAGGGAGCTTTTCGTGACCTCTGGTTAGATGGGGAAACAGATTCCCAGGTGATTTCAACAGAAGCGTAAGGAGAACATGGAAAGCTCATTCAGATCATCAGATCCAGGACCTTAAGGCAGGGCTAAGGGGTTAAGACCTGGTCAGCATTTCCCCTCCATATTCTGCCTTATATGAAATTGGCTTTATCCTTGGGTTACACCAAGCAGCCCTGATTCTTGCTTACAGCCCAGGAGTGAGGATCTCCATGCATGACAAATGGCTGTGTAAATCTAGAATTTTTCTAGGGAAAAGCTTTGGTCTCTGCTAACATTGACTGCTGAGAGATAAATAGGCTTATTTTCCCCAAAGTCCCAGAATACATCTCCTGGCTGCTGTCTCTGATTCGATTAGTGCCAGTGTTTAAAGGACACAGAGGGAGTGACAGTTGGTTTAAAACCGTTAAGTCCTCCTCTTGGGACTTGGGATAAATTCAATCCTACCCAAGTCAAATTGCCTCTGGAAACTTCAGGTCTCATTGCTAGGAGGGGTATAGATATAGGGCTTACACATAGCCGTGGACAGTATGTCACATGTTAAAGCGGTCACCAGATGGGCTGGGAGTACATCTCAGAGGCTGAGCCTTGGAATTAAGCCTCAGTCTTGCAAGCATATTTTTTTTCTTAAAGGAGCAACTATGTGGTTTGCAGCTACAGATTGGTGTGCTAGATACGATGGGCAGAGAAATAAATGTCTGCCTCTCCTGTGATTTCTTTTTCTTTTTTCCTGCTAAGAGGTCATGATAAGTAGGAAGGAAGGATCTGGGCACCTGTTCTTGACCTGGAAAGGAAGTGGGTGTGGTGTTCGTAGATAGAAGACTGAAGACCACATCCAAATAAATGGTGAGTCTAATTAGTTCCTTGGGAGAGAACTACCCACCACCTTTGTCCTCTTGCCCCTCTGAGTCCACAGCCTGCCCCTCTAAATTCTTCAGCTTCTGTTAGCATCCAGCGTGGTCCTGAAAGACTTTGCCCCGATACACTATTTTATTTGTTTGTTTGTTTGTTTGGTTGGTTGGTTTGATTTTTTTTCCAGACAAGTTTCTCTGAAGCTTTGGAGCCTGTCCAGGAACTCACTCTGTAGAACAGACAGATCTTGAACTCACAGAGGTCCACCTGCCTCTGCCTCCCAAATGCTGGGATTAAAGTCATTAGCCATCACTGCCCAGCCATTCACACTCTTAAAATGGTTAATCGAATTAATGTATGCTTTAAAAGGAATACCTGGGATTTCAAGGATTCAAGGATTCCCTGGAATGGAGAAGACTGGAAACAGAAGGAAATGGGCCAGGCTGTCAGCAGCCTGCAGACACAGCTCCCAATTTTTCTGTCTCCTCTCACTTGGAGGCCCCCTGAGTCTTCCCTGGGCATCCAGTCAGACAACAGCAGTTAGAATAAGCAGTTCCTGTATTGTAGTGGAGCAAAAAATAGTTCCTAATGGTCCAACTTTCAATTCTATGCAACAACCATCTAAATTATTCTATTATTAATAAAAGTGTGGGAGTCAGATATGGGGTTAAAACCTGATTGATGAGAGAGGCCGCAGAGAAATGACCAGTGGTCACCTCTTTCCCCTTTCCACGATCCAAATGCCTGCCAATATTTCTAACCCCTCCCTACTACTTCTTGTGTCTCTCTATATGTCCTGGATCCTTGAAAACCTCCATGGGTGATTCTGGTCACCGGTAGCTAGTTCCGCCCTATGATTCAAGGAAAATTTTATTGGCAGTCTTGGAAGTATCAGAGCATGATCAAAATATCCCACAACATTTCCCCCATTTTGCCTAAATAAAAAAGGGAGGTTTTAACTCTAACACAGTAAAACTATATCCAGTAAGAACAATTATCTGGTAAAAATTACATTCACGATGTCCATTTGCATTTGGCAAATTCAGAGAAAATATGCCATTATTTACCCTACCTTGATGAGTCAAAAGTTTTATACCTAATTCATTTTCTATCCTAACTTGTATAACCCAACCCAAAACTATCCTTTTAGACCTCAAAACATTTTCTTAGATAAACACCTTTAGTTTTTATGTCTTTCAGACTTATACACTTTACACCTCTTTTGTGAATTTTTTTTTTAATTTAGTAACAAAGAAAACTGTAACTATCTAGTCTTCAACCCCATCAGAAACCTAGAAGGATATACTTTTACCTGAGTAACAGGAAGTGCAGTGCAAATAGCCATACTGTAGAAACTATAGAAATGACAGAGGTATCTGGCTGCCTGGGCTGTCACCAAAGCTTCCTCAGCAACATTGGGGCATCCATCTTCAGCCTACAGGTTTAGAATATCTAATAGACTATTTTGTAAACCCAGAATTTTAAAGGACTGTCCTACCTTGTCTTGGCAAAGTTGTTAATCACCTTATTTTGAGTTCTGCTTGTCCAATTTGGACAGCATGCTATCATCAGTCAAGGCAAGGACAGCTCCTTGCCCAGTGGCTAACTTTGCCCATTATCTTTTTTGAGTAAATTGGTACTGCCATGAGCAGATGTATCTCACTGTCATGAAAAGTCTTAGGTTATTAAAACATTTTAAATGCCGTATTTTGTAGGTCTCTGAAGTGGTTGAAAACCATCTACTTATTTAAAATATATCTACGTTCGACCTTGAAAACATGCCTAATATATCTGTAAGTTTGATTGTTATAGATTACTATTATCTTGCCTTTCTTTACTACCCTTAATAGTTTTCAAGGACTAGAATTTTATACTGTATTTAAGTTGAGCTGCATAGATACAATACCTCAAACAAGGAATAGAAGCATATACTACAGTATATCAAAAATAATGTTAAATTTTTATTAATATACAAAAATACCTTAAACAAGAGTAGAAACATATATACAGTATAACAAACCTTAAATTTGTATCAAATATGCAAAAATCCATACTAATGTAAAATATTTGAGGTTAGCAGTTCCTTTCTTAGTTTGAAAGTTGACTCAACAATCTATATTTCTATATCCTCCCTTTTTCTTTTCAGAACAAGATCCCTAAATCTAATTTTCTTTGCTTAATTTCTTCCCTGACCATGGCCAATAGCAACTTATAACCAACCCCCCTAAACAATTACAAATATCCACAGAATGACCAAAAACCATTCACCCCACCTCTTGAAAATGTGGGCATCATGTTCTTAAAGTTACTTTCTGCTGTCTGGGGGTAATGGCACCTTTAAGTGACCCTGAAAAAAATGAGATAAAGTCCCGAGAGAGCTAGCTGCTGCCCAGTCTTAGTGGGATGGGAAAGTGCAAGACTTACTTGAAGTTCTGGCTGCAGTAGTCTATGATGCTGAACCATCTGAGTTAACCATCTGGAAATTGTTCTGACCAGCTTGTAGTCCAAAGCATCTTTCAGAGGTATTTGTCAGCTTAGTGGCATTACCACAATCCAGGTGATTTCATCATTGTGGGATTCCATCATCCTTTTGGAGATTTCACAGGTCACTGTTAGAATAGTCACAGTTCACTGAAGAAAACTTAAACGTTTTCAATATCATATGCAGCAGATCTCAAGGAGGGTACAGAACTACAATCTATTAAAGACACCCGAGGTATATCGCTTAATTCCTAGTTACCTGCTCACACTCAAGCCTGAAATCATATGCAGGAAGCTAGATAAATCCTATTTCTAGAGTTAGTTAGTACTCTATATGACCATTAATATCATGACAAAAAGTTTAAATATATATGGTAATCTTATAAATTTTGAGATAATATTTATACCTTAAGAAAATCTTTAAAGAGCCACAAATAAAACCAAAGGATTACGACATTAGTGGCAATAGAATAGTCCCCAAATCTTGTTTTGTCTTCTGTCCCATATCAGGTGACTCTTCTGACATGAGACAGAGATTTTGGGTTTTCTTTATTCAAGCATGCATGGGATTAGAGAAGGAGAGAGCTATGCTTCAACTCCAAAGCTTAATTGTAGGCATAGCTTTTCTTCTCCTGTGGAAACAAAATTAGAACCTCTTCCCCAATGTAGCAGCTATCCTGGTTTCCATTCTGAGATCAACACATCTTTTAAGTATACAGGCTTATTTAATTCAGCAAGTTTTTTCTACTCTATAACATTTCTCTGCAGCTATTGTTCTGTTTTCATTAGCATTTTAAAAATTTAAAGTAAGTAAGGCATTATGCAGTCTAGCTTCAAGGGTCCTTATTACCCTTTCTGCTTATTAAATATATATTTTGAAGTGCAATTATATCTTTTTATAATTACTTATTTGATAGGATTGTATAGTATACCTATAATATGCTTTATATTGTAATGTGCAAAAAATGATTTAATTTTACCAGAGACATATGCTGGAACATTGTCAATCTTAACATTTACAGGTATCTCCATGATGGTCATAGTTTCTGGCAAATGTGTGATTACAGAATCAGCTTTTTCAGAACTGAGAACAGTTGCCAGCTGAAATCCCAAATAAGCCAGGCAGTAGTGACACATGCTTTTAATTCCAGCACTTGGGAGGCAGAGGCAGGCAGATCTCTGTGAGTTTGAGGTCAGCCTGGTCTACAGAGCTAGTTTCTGAATAGCTAGAACTGTTACACAGACAAACCCTGTCTCAAACCCCACCCCCCAAAAGAAAGAAATCCTAAATACGTATCTATGGTATGGTGTCTTGACTCACAAACAGGCGACTGAGAGAGCTAACCGGAAATGGCATGGGTATTTAGAACCTCAAAGCCCACCCTCAGTCGGACATGCCTCTTCCAACAAGGCCACACCCCCAATCCTTCCCAAATAGTTCCACTAACTGGGGACCAAGTATTCAGTGACCATTATCATTCAAACCAGCACATTCACCAAAACAGTTGTGAAATTCAGGAGATGGCAAGAGACAGGACCTTTAAGGGGTGATGATATTATGCCGGCAGACCCTTAATTCATGGGTTACTTGGCTAATAGGGAAATGATTGTCTCAACAGTGGGCTGGTTACAAAGCCAACTGGTTGTGTCTCTCAACGTGTCCCTCTCACAGTAGACAACCCTCTGTCACCCTCCACGTCACCAAGCAACACCTCATCAGATGCATCCCTTCAACTTTGCTCTTCTCAGCCTTTGGAACCATAAACCACATAAACCTGAACTTCTCTTTTATAGACCACCTTCTCTTTGGTATTTGTTCATAGCAACAGAAAATGGTCCAAGACTAGTATGCTATATACAACGAAACTGATTGAGTTTTGACTGTACAATTCAGTGAGCATCTGCAATGTCCAGAATCATGTAACTGACACCACAATCAGTACATACGGCAACCTTCCCTCACTGCACAGAGATCTCGCTCCACCTCCTCCAGCCTCCCCCTCCCCCCACGAAACCTCTGTTCTGATGCCAGGATGTGTCCTGTTGATTCATCACTGATGGGCATTTGAGCTCCTACTGGCTTTCAGTTGGCGAAAGTAACTGCCTACAAATCTTTGAGTTGACATATGTATCGTTGTATTTACTCAGGATAATATCCAGAAGCAAAATGGCTGGGTCATGTGGTATGATACACAGAATTCTGAGAATGACTCTTAAAACCCCATCTTTTGACTTAACGCCTTCCCTTCATGGTGAGAGCAAGCAGGCTGAGACACCCCCACAGTCGTAATATCTCACAAGGCAAACGGAAAATGGTCGGAGGGGCTAAGCTTGTGCTGCCTTAAACACAAAAGGCAGCCATGTGCATATGAAGCATGGGTGGACTGACATGTCTTCTGTGGCTGTATCAATCTATTTGAGGCTGAGAGCCTTATAGAGCAGGGAAGTGCACTCGGCTCCATCCATGTGGAATGAAGCTCTAGCCTCCCCGGTGTATCGACAGCCATTGTTGAACTGCCTAACCCATGTTACATGAGAAAATTCAAAACAGAAAAAGAAAAAAACCCTTTGTAATATAAACGTGCATTCTCTCGGTTCTGTTCTTTAGAGAACCCTGACTAATATTATGGCTATTTTCTGTCATTACTTTGAAAATATTCTCTTGGCTTCTGCTTCACTATGGTATGGCGGTTCTGTTCTTTAGAGAACCCTGACTAATATTATGGCTATTTTCTGTCATTACTTTGAAAATATTCTCTTGGCTTCTGTTTCACTATGGTATGGATTAGACACCAAAAGAAGTAAAAAGCCAGCTGTCATCCAGTTTTTTCCTTTCTCTAGATGTCCAATCTGCGACTTTGAATGTTTTATTCCACATTATCCTTAATTGTATGGTCTCACTTTAAACGGAACAGTGCAAACACTCCCTTGCTCTTCCGTAGGGCTCACTCCAGCCTCCGAAGTCTGTAGCCTCAGCCCCGGAAGTTGCCTTCCGGTTGACCCTTCCTGGTGCTGTCTTACTTCCTTAACAGAAGAGCCCACGTGACACTGGATGGGTGTAAGCTTCTTAGCCATGTGCGCAACAGAGCCAGAGGTCTTGAATGTCTACACCAAGCCATCATCCACGGTCAACTATTACCCCAGGAGGGATTCCTTTTATTTCCAACATTCCTACCAAGGGCCAGGTTGTGCTGGGAAACCCTTTTAAGCATCTGAAACGGAATAAAAGAAATACACTCAAAGAAATATGGAATGTGTTTTTCAGTCAAGTGTAAACTTGCTTGGTAAAAAGGGGTGAAGAGACAGTGTCGCTAGTCAGTGGTACCGACCGACTCCACCCAGGCTCCTGAGGTTCAGTCTGCATCCCCTAATATCGCTGTTTTCTTATCCCTGCTCTACCAACCAGTCCCTAGCACAGCCCTGAATCTGTATTTAAAAAGCAGCACCCCTGACATTATTCCTGGCACAGCCAGAGCTGGGTCGCTGTTGTCAGGGCAACAGAGTGTCTGCAGGGAGCACCAGCTCTCCAGGGTTTCCAAGGCAACCACTCCGCAGAGTGGAAGCAGGTGCAGCGCCCTGAGTAGAGCCCTGGGGCGGAGCCAGCTGGGGTGAGGACCCTTGGGGGATCAAGAGGTGTGGCCGCTAGGCTGTGATGTGCTCTAAAACATCACTTTGGGTGGAATATTCGGCTTTGATGGTGCACTTGCAAAACCGAACCGCTGATTTCCTCCTGCCTTGGCGTATCCAGCTTGTCTCCAGGAGCCGCTTGCGCTTTGGAAATGGTCCAAGTGGATGAACTGCAGCGGAGCGTCCCCACACAGTAAGGTCCTGTTGAACAGAGTCCTAGGAACAGACCAGGGAGTTGATATGCGCCATTAAAACGTGAGGCGCAGTTGCATGGGCTTGTTGCGCATCGCGTGGTGCCCAAGACATCCTACCAAGGCCCAGGAGTCAAGTAGCAACCTGGCTGGAAGAAGCCGCATAAGGGCCTTTCCTTTTGAGATGCAGGTTAGCTCACAGTACTTGCCCCTGGTTTGGTTTATTCGCCTTGTTTCCTGAAAAAAATGCTGCCAAGTAAATAGGAAAGAAGCGAGGTTTCTGGAGGATTCTTTGGCATTGAACCTTGGCGTGGTAGGTCCCTGTGCAATCTTTTCTGTGGCTGACGCTGGGAGACTGCGGGTGTAAGGCGCCAACTTGGTCTCCTCTCCCCCCCCCCCCCCCCCCGCCGCCTGTCATCTATGGCTCCTCCGAGGGGGGGAGGGGCGGGCTGTCTGACACAGTTATTAAACCTGGCAGCTGCGTTGGCGGCACCGAGGAGCATTTTGGGGGAGCTCGGAAAATAAGGGACTACCAGCTGGCCGTCTGCTTGTCCTTCCTTTCTTGTTGCCTGAAAGGTGGCCGGCAGAGCTTCCTCTTGGTACCGATTGGCCTTCGGGCACTTTGGCAAACACTTAAAAGGTGAGTATCTGACGTCTCGGCGGTGGCAGGCGACAGGATCGGAAAGCTTCCGGCTTTGCGAAGGGAAGGCTGAGACGGCGACAGGAGAGGGGACCGGCTGCGGGGAGGGGGTGGGGATACAGGGGGTGGGGCGGGGGAGGGTACTCGCCACGTTCGTCGCCACGCCTCGTCTGGAGGTGGCCGCAACCCTGGCGATCCCGGGAGGGACTTGAACTCGGAGTAGTTGGGAGCACTTCGCGTCCGGATCGTTCCTATGTGTCGACTCAAAGCAAAAGAAACTTGGGCCTAGGTAGCCGAGGTGCACAATCCTGGCCGGCCAGGATTGGGAAAGGCGAGACGTTACACTTTCACGGTTGGCTCACAGCGATCAGACATAGCTTATGCTTTCCAGCCGGTGGGGACCTTTGCGCACTGCGCAGGGACTGCCGCGGTTCTCCCTGAAGTCACCTAGCTGGGTGACTTGCTCACTGCGCCTGGGTCTGGGTCCCGGTAGGATTTCAGAGTTCTGAGACTCTGTCAGACTCCAAGCTGACTTCTTCCCTTCCCTGCGCATAATGTTCTTACAGGGTGGGCATTTTTCGGCCCCAATGAAAAGACGCCAGTCCCCTCCTTTCTCCTCAAACTATGGATGTTGTAAAAGGGTGTGATGGGTTTTGTTTGATGTTACCATTGGTTGTTAGAGGAAATCTCGGCGTTCGATTTGGTTTCCATATTTAATTTGGGGCAAGATTTTCAACTTTACAGACCTGGCAACATGCAAGGCCTCTCTGTAGTCTGTGTATGTCTTGAGGAATCTGGCTTTCCCCTGAAAAGTGGTCAACACAGTCCAGTGGCTCCCAGATGTCATGTCCAGAGACTGGGCTGCCATTTGATGTCCGTCTAGTTCTTGTCTGGCCCAGTTTCCGGCTGTCTCCTGTGGTCTCTGTGCAAG